GTGTCAGTGACCCGCTCCGGGTTCCGTGTGACGAGGAGAAGGACGATGGATGGAAAGCGCCTGAGCCTCGGAGAGGAAATTCTTTTTTCTTTTCTTCGGATGAAAAGAATAGGAGCTTGCTTCTGGAGCTGCCCCTCCTCTCTCTTTCTCTCTCGTTCTGCTGGCCGCTGCTGACTGTGAAGTTACTGCGCACATTCCCACGCACGCAACGCAAGCCAGCAGGCAACAGTGTTGGTCGCCGGCGGATGGTTCTTCTCTGCCTTTCTCTCGCTGACACCAGGGGCCCATTTGGCAGCGCCAGCGCACCAATTCTCATTTTAAATTCCAGTAGGGACTTTGGAGAGCACACATGTTTCTCCCTCCATGCAGGTTGGATTTTCCCCCCTGATTCAGTCACTGCAGATAGGTTGTGTTCAGGGTAGAAGAATTATTCGATACCGTAACCCAACTCGTACTGAAATCTCAAAGAAAAACACGTAAAAACACGGCTCTGTATTTGCCGCTGGGCCTCTGGAGTCTCCTCTAGTTCCTGCGCAAGCAAGCTAGCTGGCGACTCCAGTCCTGATCTACTAGGCTACGACGAAGAATCTGAAACCAGTCCAATGTTTGGATATATAAATAAGTAAAATCGAGCTAATGTGGGTGGCACTCGCCGCTGGTCTTTTCCGTTTTCACCCTCCGCAGCTGGCGTTCTAGGACTGAACGAAACTGCCCTGCCCGGTCTCCACCGCGTGGAACGACTTCCCGATCGCCATCGCTGCTTCTTCTGACCAGTTCTTCCCGGCCTCGAAGTGGAAGCGCCGCCGCTGGCCACAGATGGGCACGCACGCTCGCAGCATCCAGTTCCAGCCGCTCGGTAGGTCCGCCCATGTCTTATACGGATGTACTAGTACATATATGCTGCGCTGCTTTCTCCGGTGAACGAACAAAACAGCCAAGCTAGAAGGAGATGTTCATGCTTTCACCTGTACTGGCTTAATATACTTTTTGTTGTCTCAAGAAAGAATACTCTTTGTGAGTGAAGTTGGGTTAGGTTAGGAGACGTTGACAGTGCTGCTGCACACACTGCAATTCAGGCACGAATTCAAGGTGTTTTGTTTCGTCGGAATTGAACTTTATTCAGGTGTCCAATTCATTTGTGTGATTACTCCATAGCTCCATGAATATCAACTCAAGTTAGTATTTGCTGTTACAGTACGCGCATGGGCATGGCTCGGGGTGGCTCGCAGCCATGCAGTATGGGCATGGAAATATTCATGGCGACCAATCACGCATAGTGTGCACGTACTCGTACAACTGTAGCTGTAGGAGGCGTGGGTGAGAAGACAGGAGTCGTCAGATGGTCGGTCGAGAACGAGTGGCCGCCGGCCACATGCACCAGGGCAACTGGGCAAGGGAGCTGAGGTGACTCGTAAAAACCTCGGTAGATGCGATGCGATGCGATGCAGGATGAGTAAGGCCATCTCCAGCGGCGCTTCCAGGAAGGCCTCTTCAGACGTTTTTTTCGCGCCGGCGTCGAAAAACGGTCCAGTCGCGTTTCCAGGAGCTGGATTTTCACCGGCTTGGGCCGAAAACAGCGCCGGCGGACCCAGCCCGAACCCGGCGCGTTGGGGGACGCCCGGGGGTTGGCGCGAAAAAGCCGCGGGCCCGCCGCGTCAACGACACGGCTCTCTTCTCGGCCCTTCGTCGTCCTCATCGCCTCGTTTTCCGCGGCAAATCAATGCCAAAGCTGCCACGCGCTGCCGCGCCGGTCAGCCTGCATTATTGATGCCTCACGGGGCGGCGCAGTGAAGACCGGACGACGCGCGTCCCTCGCCCTCCCTCGCCCGTCACGCGTACACACGGTGGCACGCGCGCCTCGGCCTATATATGACGCGCCCCGGCGACTCACACTCTCCCGCCGTCGTCGTTCCTCCCTCTCCTCTCCTCTCTTTCGCCGTCTCCAGTTCACACCCATGGCCGAGCGCTTTCCAAGCGACGGCGCGGCGGCGAACGGCTTCGTCCGCCGCCATCTTCATGAAGACGAGGCTCGCCTCCTTTATGAGGCCGAGTACCCGGTCCCGCCGGACATGCGGGTGCCCGGGGCGTGGAGGATCAGCGCGGGCGGCGTGCCGGTGCCCCCGGTACCCACCGGCGCGGCGCGGCGTGCGGAGATCGCACGCATCCGCTCGAACCTGCCGCGTGCGGCGAGGGAGGGGCCACGGTACGTCCCCGACAGCCCGCTCTGGGACCCTTACTTCCGCCTCCGTCACGCCCAGCGGCTCGAGGCCACCAACGGCGTCGTGCCCTCCGGCAGGCTCAACGCCGCCGGCCGGCGTCGGTGGTGGGGCGTGCCCGGGCGCACGTTGGAGGCCGTCCTCGAGTACATCGAGGGCGGCAACACGCCGCGCCTCGAGTACCCCGCTCCCCCTTCCTTCTCACGCCGCCGGGGAAGCTCCTGGACCCCGAGGCGCATGGACACCGGGGGGTCCTCCTTCTCGTCCGGCGGCTCGCCCTGCCTCCGCCCCGTCAAGCCGGAGCCCCAGGGCACGCCGGTCAGCGCGCGCACCCGCAGCTCCGGCGTCCGCATCGACGCCAACGCCTCTCCACCCACCGGCCGCTTCGTCCTTGTCGAGCCCAAGCCGGAGCCCGGTCTTCCCACGGAGTACGAGGAGATAGCCCGGCGCGGCTTCTCCGACGAGGACGCCATGCGGTGCGCGCGGGACGACTACCTCCGCGACGAGATGGTCCAACAGCGCCGGGCCCTGGAGGAGATCGCCGCCCGCAAGCGTGGGCGCGAGGACGAGCACGACGTCGTGGTCCTCGACAGCGACGACGACGACGACGCCCCGGGACCGTCCAACCCGCCGCGCCAAGCGGGGGAGGGATGCAGCAGGGACGACGGAGGCGTAGGCGGGGGCGGTGACGACGACGACGACGACGGCGGTGACTACACGCGGTTCTACAGCCTCCTCGGCATGTAGAACCGCGTGGGCGGGCGGCGAGGCAGGCGGCGAGGGAGACGGCGGGGGTAGCTCGCGATAGTTTTTTTTTCTTTTTGTTGTAAAATATATTTAAGTTTGAACGAGCTCGCCGATGTTTGCGTTAAATTTGAGTCGTTTTTGCGCCGTATTTGACTTTTTTGACTAACCGTGGGCGCCGCGACTGGGGGCATCACGCCCCCAGTGCGCGGTTTAGCGCCGGTGCGCCCGCAGGGGGGGCATCTCCAGCCGTTGAGCCCCCACGAGGCATTTTTTCGCCGCCTGGAAGGCTACCGATGATAACTTTTGCCTGGGTGTCAAAAAGTTTCCACTCGTTGCCCCCCCCCCACCACACACACATCTGTCTCTCCCCCGCTCGGCCATGGAGGTGGAGGCGGCATGACCCTGCTCCTCCTTCTCTCTACCTAGC